GGAGACAATCTCGCCGAGGCCCAAGGGCTTGTAGTCCTTGGTCTTGGTGTGCTCGTGCCACAGGCCAGCACCTCCTCGGCGCCGAGGAGGCGCGCCGCTGGAAAGCGGCGTTTCACCCCGTCGATGGTCTTGGCCTCGTAGGCATTGACCTGCGCCGACCATTGGGCGAAGTGCTTTGGGGGGCGCTCGTCGGCCGCCGAGGTGGCTGTTGGAGCGAGCCCCGCCGCAGGCGCAGCTGCAGGCGGAGGCGTCGGGACTGCGATCGGCAGCGCCGTGGCAGCCTTCCATTGACGCTGGGCCTCCGTAAAGAGGTGGACCAGGACTGCCTGCGTCACGTCTTCGCTGCCAGGCGCCGCCTTGTGGTCCGTGCCGGCCAAGGTCACGCCGGACAAGAAGGGTTGGACGAACTTCGCCACGAAGTTCGTCGTGTCCTCGGCCACAAGTGCGAGCGTCGGTGTAGAAGAGATCCCCCTCGCCGCGATATAGTTCCGAATCGCTGGCGCCGCACCGGCAGAGACGATGAGGTCGTCCAGGGAAGCCATGGCCGCCGCCACCGTAGGGAAGGCAGCCGCCGGCGCACCAGCCATAGCGAAGGAAGGAGGGGGCGTCGGGTAAGGAAGCCTAGAAGATCCTAAAAACACTGCGTCGGTGGATGTGCTAAGCGCGAGCTCAGCCGCCGACTGCCGAAAAGGAGAGAAAGGAGGGGCAGCATTTAAACCCCGTCGCAGCTCAGTCGCTATCAGACGTCGACCCCTCGGACGAGGATGAGGAGCTTCCGGCGGAAGACCCTATACCTCCGTGGCCGCGTCGAGCGCCACCACAGGGAAACACCTCTGGCAACGCCGGGGGTCGGGCGGTTCCGCCGACAGCCGGAAGAACTGGCGAATGCCATATGGCCACCCGCACTTCGCCGTCCATTCGTGCTTCTCGGTCGCCGTCTCGTCGGCGCCGGGGAGATGCACTATCTTGGAACGGGCGTTCATGATGAACCTCGTCGGGTTCTCGCCGACCACCTGTGCCACAGCCGCCGGTCTAAGCGGCGCCGGCACGAAGTCAACCTCCGGCATAGCGTCGGGGGACCTCGTCGGGCTGGCTGCTGTCGGCCTCTCCGCGTCGTCGTCGTCGTCTGGTGCCGGCAGGGCCAAGGGGCTGTGCGATGAGCTCGCCGCCGTGCTGCCGGCTGCCTCTGCCGGCCGAGTGGCCAGGGCTTGTGCCGGTATGGCCGCCGCTGCATAGGTCAGGGGCGCCGCCTGGGTGTACCGTTCGACCGCCGCGCTGGCCCATCGGCCGAGCAGCTGGATGATGGCGATGGCCACGCCCCGTGCCGCCAGAAAGGTGGCGCCGGACACCCTCGCGGCATGGCCCCCGAAGATGGGCACCCGCCGGCCGTCGGGGTGATCCATGTGTGTCTCCACTCCGCACGCCGCCAGGACCAGGAGGAACATCTCGATGGACGCCGCTTTCGTCCGGGGCTCCGTGGTAGAGGTGGGGAAAAGCGCCGAGCTGGGTGCCTTGGCCCCGTCGGCGTGGAGCCTGGCCACATGTCTCCTCGCGGCACACGCCGGGCACAGTGGGTGGATCACCGCCGTGCAGACGCAGCGGAGGGATCGCCGTGTCAGCTCGGTCTGTCCCCCCTGCGCCGTCTTATGCAGAGGCAGGTCCAGGGTGATGCCGCCGCCGAAGGTCGCCGAGGACAGTGTGAGGTCCTGTACCCGGGCGCCGGCGATCTCAACCTCCCTGAGCATGAACCAGCATGCTATGATCACCACGTCGACAGCGTGGTGCGGCCGCCGGCAGTCCAGGGGCTCAGGCGCCGCTTGGAATCTGACCAAGGTCGACAGGACGCCGAGGTCGAAGGCCTGCTTCAGCTTCGATCCTGGCATGCCCCGGACCGCCGCTCGGGCGAAGCGTCGGGCTGCTTTCTTCAGGGCCGGTGGCACGTCGAGTTGAAGGACGTGCTCGTGGTGATAGATGGCGGCGTCGAGGTAGAGCTGCGCCGACTTGTAGCCGCCGTCCTTGAGGCACGCCGCCAGCAGCTTGATCCGGTAGCGGTCGAGGGGCCAGGGCTCCACGCCGTGACGCTCTGCTATCTTGAGCCAAAACCTGATGCGGGAGTCCACCGACCGCCGCGTGGTGGAGGCGAACACCGCCGACTCCAGCTCGTCGATGGCCCTCTGGGTGTTCTGCGGGTCGGCCGCCCCCAGCGCCGCCTGCAGTGAGGCCCTCTGCGCGGGGCGTCGGTACGGGATGTCCGCCCGATGTGGTACCATGGCCGACGTCGGTCCCCTGACTGGCCCGGGTTGGGTCGCCGTGGCCAGTGTGAGTACGACCTGCTCGGGGACGCCGGCGGCTACCAATGCCGGCCCGGCTGGTCCCACCGCCGACCGAGATGTGACCCCCAAGGCCGCAAAGCATGACATGTGCGCCCCGCCGCCGGCCGCCGCCACCTCAGCTAGGAAGGCGGCGAAGGTGCCTGGGGCGGGGTCCGCCGCGGAGGCTTGAGCCATCGAGCCGAGATCCTAATTGAGCGCCGGGCTGGCGACAGCGTTTGGGCAAAACGGCTGCGGGTTAGGGTCAAGCGCCGGGCAACCGGGAAGAGAGAGAGAGGTGCAAGCACTCGACGACCGCCGCATTCCGATGCAAACACTCTTTTTGGCGCCGGGGCGCAGCTCCAGGCATGGTCTGACCATGGTCTGTGGCAGGCGTCGAGCTTCGTCGAACGCCGCAAGAAAAACTCTGGCGGATCTCCGCCGGGAGCTCTGTCGTCAGGGTGTCGTCGATCCCGGCCAACGCCGGGTCCAAAGAAAAGCCCCGTCGAAACCAAGCTGCCCAGCGTCGGGGTGGCTTCTCAGCGCCGCCCTTGGGCTCGCAGGCCCTCACACGCCGGGCATTTGTGGCTCCCGGATGAGCCGTGTGAGCCGGCCGCGCCGAGGGCGATAGGTCGGAGGCAGCGACCTTCTCCGCCGCACACGGCGTCGCGGCGCGGCACCGTGCACGGCAGCCAACAATCCGCCGCTCCTCCTTGCTGTGCCGCACCGTGATTCTGGCGCCGACCACGCCGGTGGGCAAGCGTCGGAGGAAGGGGTAATCCGCCTCTGGCAGGTCTTCGCCACGCCGTGGCGTCACTGGCCTGGGCAGGGCGAAGCGCCGAAGGTGTGGTGGCACCGCCGTGTCCTCGGCTGACGCGCCGGCCCTCTCCCTCAGGCGTTTGTACTCGAAGTACGCCGGAGAGATGTGGCCCACCTCCTCCGCCGTCCACGGGGTGCTGCCCCACCGCCGCGGATCGTACGCCTCATACTGGCGTCGCTCATGGGCCGATGCCTCTCTACGCCGCCTCTCTGCCCGCATGGCCTGCGTCGGCACTGAGGATCGTCGCCGGCTAGCGTCGGCAGGCGGCTGGCGGATGTATGGGAACTCCTCATTGCTCGCCGCCGCCGCGATCCTGGCCATGGCCTGGGCGTCGAGAGGGTTCTCCCAGGGACGTCGCCCCAGTCGGCCTGGGCGGGGGCCGCACCCGTAGCGGGGGCCACGCCCGCCGACGCCGAGGCCTCATTGATCCATGAGCTCGCCGAGGACGATGCCGCCTCTGGGCCATGCCTGGTCGTCGTCGAGGTCTGCGGGATGGGCCTGTCCGCCGCAGAGGCTGCGGCTGTTGAGTGGCTCGCCGAGGTGCTCATGGGCGGGTCGTCGAAGGGGTTGGGCGTCGGCGGGTAGACCACCGGCTCCGTCGTCTCAATGTTCTCCGCCGCCACGGTGACCGTCGCAGCGATCCCCAGACCCGGGTGTATGGGCGCCGCCTCGGCGCCGCCGCCCCTGTTGGGATCAATGACCAACGCCGTGGGAGGCACCAACGGCGTCGGAGGGGCTTTGTGGCGGGCGCTGCCAGTGGGAGACGCCGCTCCTGAGGCCGCCGCCGAAGCCTCTTCCATGGCGTCGAGGCCAGTAAAGAAGGGGCGCCGCCCGGCAGACGTCGAAGATGAGGCAGGGCGAGACTGCGTCGCCTGAACATTCAACGCCGCGACAATCTCCCTGGCGTTGGGCGGGCCTCGCCGCCCCGACTGTGCGGGTGTCGTCGTCCCAGAGGAGGGCATTGAAGTGAGCGCCGCGACCTGCCATGTGTCGGCCCTGGACGCCAACAAGGACGTCGCCTTGGCCTTGGTGGCGGCGTCGATGAAATAATCAGCCCGCGCCGGTGTCGTCGTCCCTGATGCCGGCACCGAGGGTGGCGCCGATGGCAATGGGGCCAGCTCCCCAGGAGGCGTCGCCTTCACAATGGCCGGCGTCGATCTGCCTGAGGGCGTCGGTGCGGTAGCCATCGGGGTGGGCGCCGCCGCCGTGGAAGGGCCAACGGGCGGGGACCCAACCTCCGCCGTGCCGCTCAGAACCGGCTGTTCCAGCACCACGTCGTCACCATCTTCGTCGCCCTCAGGAATGGGCGTCGGCACGAAGGGCATGCTCTCAGTGCCGCCGGTGCCACCCGCTGTCATCGTCGCGACCTCCGCCGCCTCCTCCGTCGTCGTGCCTTGGACCAGGCCCACCATCAGCTGACTCGCCGCGTGCCCGGCGTCGATGAGGTCCGTCATCTGGTCCGTCGTCAGGAGGCCGATGACCGGGACCCAGCCAGTACGCCGAGCCGCCGCCAGGGCGTCGGCCATCATCTGAGCAGCGATCGTCGGGTGAAGAGCCATGACCGCCGAAGGCACAAGAGGAGCTAGCAGAAAAAGCTTAGGCGAAAGTCGCGTCGAGCCAGAGTGCTGAAGGCAGCTACGCCGTTCACGGTTGTTACTGCGCACACAAGTGTGCTACACAACAAGACACAGCTCCTTTCGGCGGGTTCTTAAATCTGGCCCTATCCGATCTATCCAAATTGCAAAGAGCGGCACAGAGCACCAAATGCGCTTCGCAAGTTGCTGAGTTACCAGAGCTGCGGAGACTACGACTACGGAAAGACTACTAGTAGCATGCGATTCGAGCTTGTCCGCTGCAGCTGAGGGATCGGCCGCAGCTGCGGTGTGCAATCGCTGCCCTCCTTCGGTAGCCGGTAGCCTCGCGGACAACGTGTATCGCTCAAGAGCCCTTCTGCACTTGGCCCTTTCCATTGCAAAGCCGCACACCCAATCGGTTTTCAAAAAAACAGGACGTGCTGCACTGGGCCAGGAGTGTCTCTTGCACCCCGTGTCTCTCCTTCTTCGGCCTTTCCGTTGGAACCCAAGCCTGAGAAGACACCTCCGCCAACTGAACGCTGCACCCCCGACGCCTGAGAAACCCAGCCTCGGCTCCGAGCTTTCATGCCAAAAGGGCCCTTGGGGCTTCCCCGCTTGAAGGCTTCAAGGAGCGCAAGGAGCGCAAGGAGCGCAAGGAGTGCAAGGAGTGCAAGCTGGAAAGGCCAAGCGCCCCGCGCGGGCTGATTTTTCAGCAACCTCGCCCATGGGTGGTGAAAACTGAAACCCGGCAGCACCACCACCGAGAGGTGCGGAACAATCATTCCAGTCCCCACTGCACTTCAGCCCTCCGACCGCGAGGACGGTAAAACCTTGATGTCTTTCCACTTTCCAAGTGCAGGTTGCGGCTGGACGAGTCGGCTTTTGCTGTCTGACCGCACTCTTTCTGAAGGTGTGTAAACTGAAACTTCAACCTCGCAATTATAGAAATGATAATCTAGCACAGGCGTAGCGACGGCACTCCGACCGCGATTAAACACTTCGTGCCGTGTTCTGCAGCCGCGGCAAGCGACTGCAGACACATCAGAGTCTGGGACCTGAGGCACTAGCCCAAAAACCCGGCGCTCTTCGCCGCAGGCTCTTATTCGAGAAGATACTGCAGAGGGCAAGATCTACTTTCAATTCTCGGAGCCCTCACGCTCCCACCACACACGAGCAGCATCGACATTTCGCTCCATGCAGGATGACCAGCCCTTGTCTTGTGCGTGGTAGTGTACCTCGGTGGCAGGTCGGGTAGAGGTCTGAACAGAGCATCCTGTGTGGGCGTCTGGCCGTGTAGCTCCCGTCGGCGTGCACCGCGAGCACGCGTGCGGGGTGCCACCAAGAGCCTGCGAACTGAGGGAAGAGACGGGTTAAAGGCAAGGCTGAAAGATGACCCCACCTGAACCACCGTCAGGCCACATCACGTGCACCGCTGCGCCAGGCAGCGCGCAACCCTCCGGTGCCTTGGGAAACTCCAGCTCCCGGAGCAGACCTTTGCGAGAAGCGAAGGCCCAAGGCGCCGGGCTGGGGCTGGGGCTGACTTGAAAACTCAGAACACATGGCAGCACATCATGGCAATGCCGACGGCATTGCGGCACGGATGGCACGGCTGGCCTGGCTGGCGGTCCAGGAGCCGAAGGGCACAGCTGTGCCAAATGGAACACGAGGCTGTGCAAATCTCCCGAGCGTGCTGGAAAGCACCTGAGCCGGCAGGTCGGCGTCTCCTCCGTGTCGGTGTTTAGCGTGTCTCGCTGTGCGAGACTAAGCATGCATGTAAACGCACAAGCCAAGCGTCTCTGCACCAAGTCCGTGATGTCTTTCGCAGGATTGCCCTCCAGAACGATACGACCGTCACAGCGATGAGCTCCATACTCTGCAACGTCGTCTTCTCCAGTCACCCAGGCTCCGTAGGATGCGAATTCAGCCAACATCTTCTCCGCAAATCTGGGACGGACGGAATTTGGGGATGGCACGCCGGAGATGTCAAGAAGGAGGGTTCAAACATGCTTGGAAGGACGGAGCACTGGCCTCTCTATGCTGAACTCCATATCTTTTTCGTGGCAGAGCCTTGGATCAAGCCATCTTCTTCGTAACATGACAGCTCCGCATGCAACTGCGGCGCATCATGTGCCAGTACTTCAACTCGCCGCTGAAGTGCACCAGCTTGATATCCTGCATGCACGCAAGATGCCTGTTCACTCAGCACTACATGATGCCAAGAGCCATGTGTGGCATGCGCAGACCTCCGCGCAGATTTTGAGTCGACGGGGTATCCAGTCTGACTCTTCGCAGTCGGACTCGCCAAGCCATTCAAGCCTATTTCGGTGGCGCACTACCTGGCGCATTGACACGCATCCTAGAGACCTGCAACCGTGCTACGAGCAGCCCCAGCAGCCTGCTCCAAGGCAAAGGGAATATGGTGCAGCTGAAAGTTGTAGGACACGTCGATGTGTCGCCAGGGCTGCTGCAGGTCTGCCTCAGTGCCCAGACAGAGTTGCGGAGAGCGGCTAGGAGGAGGGCCGGGTCCCAGGCCGCGAAGAAGCGGGTCAGGTAGTCCTGCTCCGGGCCGTTCCCGGCAATGTGGGCAGGATGGTGCTCAGAAGTGACCTTCGCCAAGAGCTTCTCAGATCCCGAAACTCTTGCAGCAAAAGCACCTCGCTCAGCATCTGTTCGAAGGTGTCGTGAGACGGCCGCAGGAGAATCAGGCCCGCGTTGATGCCTCCGAGTAAACGGAGCACAGAACACCATCAAGCACAGTGGCTGCAGTTGGCAGTAGCATGGTGACGGACGGCTCTCCTCCGGACTGTAGCCAACCACCCGGCTCCCAGCCGCCCTCGCTGAAGAAGGAGCCTGAGGTGCTACAGCTTCGGCAGCGGAATTTCACCAAGACCGATGTGCCGCGGGATGTGCCCGGCTTCGCTTGACTTTTCCCTCGGCCTCTGCAACAGAATAAGTCGCGAATTGCCGTCGGCAGCTTTCTTAAGCCGCCGCTCTGCACCGGCATAGACAATGCTTGCTTGTCTGCGAAGTTGTCGCATGGGGCTGGTCTGATTCCGCGTAGTGCACATGCAGCCCAACAGCCCCACCACATCCCACCACTGAAAAAAAAGGTCGCATCGTCGAATTTGACATCTGAGTCTGGATGTGCTCCCCGTCTCGCGCGTGGGACGCAAGGTTGAGTTTCGGGCTCCAAGGATGTGGGGAGCCATGTCCTATCATCTGGGAACATGTTTCCGTCGAGTTGCTTCGGGTTCTCACCACATGCAAGACGACACCTAGAGACACGCCACCAGGTCATTTGTCCTGCTGAGCAGGTTTTTGATCTTCAGCGAATGCCGTTGTGATTATGTTCAAGATTTTGTCTCGGCAAGGAAGTAGGAACCCATGGACCCTCGCCTTTGGCAGCCCACTGGCCTTTTGCTCGCTGGGTGTTTGGTAGGACAGAACTGGCTGGGAACCGAAAAACCCATTATTCCTCCCGCTGGTGATCAGCACTGCCATTGCCGCTGTGAGTGCAAGGCCTGTCCAACAAACTACGTGATTGTTGCACTGTGGTTCTTGCTAGGGTTCTTTGGTGGGCTTTGCGCCTACCATGGGTACTTATATCGACAACACCGTGCTTCCTGCATACGAGATCGAAGGGAGATACCTGATAGTGCAGTATCCTCAGGAGAGGAAATGGCACGAGAGATACGTGATCCACCGAGCTCGGGCGGACCCGAACGACCCGAGATCAACTGGGTGGTGCGTCATCGCAACTCCAGACGGTGATGTGTACGCAGAGCCCTTATCGGTGCCCAACATCCAGGGGGTCGTGCTTCTGGAAAGGGACCGGTCACTGCCACCAGGGATCCGACGGCAGAGTGTGCATCGTTTTGAAGACGGGAATGTGGGGCAGGCGTTAGGGCATGCCGAGCTGGTCCATGTCCGAGGCGCTGCTCAAGCTGAGTTGGATGCCTTGCAGGGGGAGATTGACCTCAATGCTGGCGGGGCTCTTGCTGGGGCCCTCACGGCGGCTCCACCGGCGGCACCGACCTCCCCGCCGCCTTTGCCAGGACCGGTGTTGACTTCAGCTGCTGGCTCTGTTTCAGAAGGAGTGCGCTCCAAGGGAAGCTTAGTCCCCCTTCCGCAAGTGGTTGGGGGCTACCAGGCGGGCACAAAGGGCGTCGCAGCCTTGGCTGACGGGTCAGTCTTATTCGCGGAGCTGATTCCGAATCATGAGCTGGGACACTACACCACCGCTGCGACCGCGGTGGCTGCCCCGGCTGCCATCGATCCCGGGGTCATCGGCGGCATCGGATTCGGTGGGGGAGCCCCAGATGACGCCAGGACTTTGGCCGTGCGGTACGGCGCGGACGGTAAGCGACGCCGTGAGCTCAGGGATGGTGTGGATAAGGCATCACAGAGCTCATGGGGTGACTGGCCGATTAAGGGTCCGAGAACGGCCCGTTGGGTCGGATCGTACATCGTCTCAAATGGGGGCAGTCCGTTGACCATGCACAATCAGTGGAAGACCATATGCAAGTTGCAAGCTACCGACAACGGTGTGCTGGAGCACGAGTCCATCTGCAAGGCAATCGAGCTGGCGCTTGAGTACGATCAGCTGAACCTTGGCGAATTGGCATGTATCGAGCTACTTTGTCGGCGACTTCAAATGATTCAGTTCCGCTGGAAAGAGAGGGTCATCGGAGCATCCTCGACGGGATCAGTCGACGACGAGACGCATTACTTCCTTGGCGTGGACCCAACGCGGACCCAACACGAGGGAACATATGTGTGTGCCCTGCTCTCAACACGTGGCTCGGCGAGGAGTTGCACAAGGAAGCCCAAGCAAGCAAGGAGCAGCGAAAGGCCCGAGAAGAGCGGTCTTTGCTGCGAGCAAATAAGCCGAAGGCGTAACGGCCCGCTTGGGGGCCGTTTTCGCAGTGCTGCTGGCTTGCCCCGGATCGGCTGCACTTCTCCCTTTTTGACGGGGCTCTTCTCGCCCTTGGCCAGGAACCTCGTCTGGGGTTTTTAACGCCTGTCCTCAGGCACAGTTTTGGTGTGATGAGTGGCACTCTGGCTAGGCAGCGGGATTTGCTGCCTCTTCGCGCTCCGTGTGATGAGGCGGAAATTCTGAACAAGGGCCTGAGTCGTGGGTGCCGCCAGCGAATTAGCAGGAGATTGGCTGCCGGGTCTTGGGCCCGCGAGGGCATTGAGACCTTGAACTTCTTGTATGGCAAACCCGATGGGGTGGTCGGCCCGGCACCGGTTGGCTCCCACGCCGCGGTTCTCAATCATATGGACCAGGTTTTTCGTGGAATTGGGCCACCGCCAAAATCTCGTCCCGAAGAAGCCCTTGAGGCGCTTCTCGGCTCCATGACGGTGTACTCAATACCTGACGTGGAGTGCAAGCATGCCAGTTTCGACGAGGCAAAAGTCTCATGGCCGGATCCGGGTTGTCATCCTGTGCGTGTGGCGGAATTCCTGGAGCCGGAGGTTGCTAAGTTGTTGACTCTGGCCGGCAGCTCAGAGCTACTTGCCGAATGCGATGCTCAGGGTGCAGCTGAACCTATCAAACCTTATATCGATCCTGTGCTGTCTCACTCTCCTGTACAGATGGGAAAGTTTTGCGGCCGGCTTTTTAAATCACAGATGCTCACCTTTGTTCCCGGACAACACGAACACACTGTAGGGGTTTTCTTTGTTCCTAAAAAGAGCGGCAAGCTGCGATTGATTCTGGACACCCGCAAGGCGAATGGGTTTTTTCGTAAGCCAAGGGCGTCAAGGTTACCATCCCCGG